CAAAGTAAAAAAGGTTCGTCTCCAGACCTTAAGAGGAGAGTTTGAATCATTGCATATGAAAGAAAATGAATCTGTTTCAGATTACATGTTTTGGCTATTGTCAATCGATGAAAAGATATGGTGAAGAGTTGAAGGATGATAGGGTCGTTGTAAAAGTACTACGATCCCTAGATTCAAAATTTGATTATATTGTTGTTGCTATTGAAGAGTCCAAAGACTTGGACACCATGACCATAGATGAACTTTCGAGTTCTTTGCAAGCCCATGAAGAAAAATTGAAGAAACCGAAAGAAGAATCGGTTGAAAAGGCGTTGCAACCAAAACTTTCCTTCAAGGAGAAAGATGAAAGGCGTGGTTCGCAGCAAAGAGGTCGTGGTAGAGGAGGAAGAGGTGGTAGTCAACCACCAAATAGAGACAATAAAAGCCAAGACTATAGTTAAAGATGAGGTCGTGAAAGAGGCAAAGGATGGAGAAAAAATCAAGGAAGGTATGACAAGTCGAACGTTGAATGTTATACTTGTCATAAATTTGGATATTTTTCCTGGGAATGTAAAGATAATTCGGAGGAGAAAAACAACTTTGTGGAGAGCAAAAAATGAAGATGAAGATGCCACTCTACTTCTTGCATGCAAAGGAGAAGAAAGTGTGGAAAAGAACAAATGGTACCTTGACTCCGGTACAAGTAGTCATATTTGTGGAAAGAAAAATTTATTTGTGGAGCTTAAGGAGTTGAATGGTGGCCCAATCACTTTTGGAGACTCTTCGCGAGTTCAAATCAAAGGAAAAGGTACGATTTTACTTCTCTTAAAAGATGGAAGTCATCAATTAATCTCCAATATTTTTTATGTGCTGGAGATGAAAAGTAATATTTTAAGTTTGGGAGAACTTTTGGAGAAAAATTATGACATTCATTTGAAAGACAAAAAGTTGTATATGAGAGATGAAAAGGGAAGATTGTTAGCCAAAGTACCTATGGCTAATAATAATATGTTCATCTTATATCTTCAAAATGATGTTCCGAGGTGCTTGCTTTCATGTGCCAAAGATTCATCTTGGCTTTGGCATATGAGATTCGGTCACTTGAATTTTGATAGCCTAAGGTTGATGAAGAAGGAAAGCATGGTGAATGGATTGCCAACAATTGATCATCCTAACCAACTTTTTGAAGGATGTCTCTTTTGAAAAAAGCAAGCAAGGAAAAGCTCTCCTATTGAGTCTTTAACAAGAGCAAGATGCCCTCTCGAGTTAATTCACATGGATGTGTGCGGACCTATCAAGCCATCTTCACTTGGTAAAAGTAATTATTTTTTACTTTATTGATGATTTTTCTCGAAAAACTTAGGTTTATTTTTTGAAGGCAAAATCCGAGGTGTTTGAAACCTCCAAAAAGTTTAAGAGCATGTGAAGAAGCAAAGTGGCTATCAAATTAAGTCACTTAGGTCCGATAATGGTGGAGAATTCACTTTAAATGAATTCAAGATTTTATGTGAGAAAAATGGAATTCGTCATTACTTGACAGTTCCGAGATTACCACAGCAAAATGGCGTCGTGGAGAGAAAGAATCGAATTGTTCTCAACATGGCGAGGAGTATGTTGAAGAGCAAAAATATGCCAAAAGAGTTATGGGCTGAAGCTGTTGCTTGTGCGGTGTACTTATCAAATCGGTGTCACACCAAAAGTGTTCGTGGAAAAACACCACAAGAGGCATGGAGCGGTTTCAAGCCAAAAGTTGCTCATTTGCGAGTTTTTGGGAGCATCGCATATGCACATGTGTCAGATGAGAAGAGGTCTAAGCTTGATGACAAAAGTGAGAGGTATGTCTTCATTGGCTATGATCAAAGTTCTAAAGGTTATAAATTGTATAACCCCAAAAATGGCAAGGTCACCATAAGTAGAGATGTTGAGTTTGATGAAGATAATGCTTGGGAGTGGAAATCTAAAGAGCAAGAATACTCTTTTAGTCCATGCTTTGAAGATGATGAAGAAGAAGATAGGGAGCAGGCTATCACACCACCTTCAACACCTCCGCCACAAGATCAAGAAGTTGGGGAATCAAGCTCAAGTTCAAGTGAAGCACCTCACAAGAGTAGAAGTCTCTGTGACTTGTATGAAAAAACGGAAGTGGTAAGAAATGACTTGTATGATTTTACTCATTTTTGTTTGCTGGTGGACAGTGAGCCTCTAAGCTTTGAAGATGCTTGCCAAAATTCCAAATGGAGGGATGCAATGGATGAAGAAATCAAAGCTATAAAAAAGAATGATACATGGGAGTTGGTCACACTTCCAAAAGGCAAAAGCACCATTGGAGTCAAATGGGTGTACAAGCTAAAGAAGAATTCCAAGGGAGAAATAGAAAGGTACAAAGCAAGATTGGTAGCTAAAGGATACAAGCAAAAGGCCGATATTGACTATGATGAAGTATTTGCGTCGGTTGCTCGTTTGGAAACAATTCGCTTTGTCATTGCTTTGGCGGCACAAAATCAATGGAAAATCCATCAAATGGATGTGAAGTCGGCTTTCTTGAATGGCCTATTGGAGGAAGAGATCTATATTGATCAACCTTCGGGATATAAGGTTAAAGGACAAGAAGATAAAGTCTTGAAATTAAAGAAGGCTTTATATGGGTTGTAGCAAGCCCCGCGAGCTTGGAATAGTAGAATTGACAAATATTTCCAAGCAAATGATTTTTCTAAGTGTCTGCATGAACTGCCCTTTATGTAAAGATTGCTAAAACTGGTGACATCTTACTTGTTTGCTTGTATGTAGATGACTTGATATTTACAGGAAATAATCCAAAGATGTTTGAAGAATTCAAGAAAGCAATGGCTAGAGAATTTGAGATGGCAGACATTGGCCTAATGTCCTACTATCTTGGAATTCAAGTAGCACAGAGGAAAGATGTCATTTTTATTTCTCAAGGAGAGTATGCAAAGGAAATTCTCAAGAAATTTGAGATGAGAATTGCAATCCCGTAAGCACCCCCGTTGAATGTGGAGTTAAAATATCCAAGCATAGAGATGGAGATAGAGTCAATCCCACATTTTTCAAGAGTCTTATTGGAAGCTTAAAATATTTGTCATGCACAAGGCCAGATATTCTTTTTGGAGTTGGACTCTTGAGTCGCTTTATGGAAACTCCTACTATCTCGCACTTAAAGGTAGCCAAAAGAATACTTCGGTACATCAAAGGTACGCTTGATTATGGAATTCTTTATTCATCTTCTAAAGAATCCAAGTCCGTGGGATATTGTGATAGTGACTGGGCTGGTGATATTTATTATCAGAAGAGTACCAATGGGTTTGTTTTCTTTCTTGGAAATTCCGCATTTACATGAAATTCTAAGAAGCAACCAATTGTGACTTTGTCAACTTGTGAAGCGGAGTACGTAGCAGCTTGTTCGTGTGTTTGCCATGCGATTTGGCTAAGGAGTTTGTTGGGAGAACTTCACCAACCAAAGAAGGATGCTACAAAGATTTTTGTTGACAACAAATCGGCTATAGATTTAGCCAAGAACCCGGTATTTCATGAAAGAAGCAAGCATATCGATACGAGATATCATTTTATTAGAGATTGCATATCTAATAAAGTTGTGGAGCTTGAGCATGTGAAGTCTGGAGATCAAATTGCGGATATTTTCACCAAGCCCTTGAAGATTGACGTTTTTCAAAAGTTAAGGATGGCGCTTGGAGTAATGAAACAAGTTTAAGGGGGATGTTAAAAATAGTAATAAACTTGTTTCCATTTGTCCACATTTGTTTAGATTTATTTACATTAATTTAATATTTTCATACATATAGTTAGAAAAGAGTGAGGTGTGGACATGTGTGAATTTGTGTGAACTAGTGTAGGCATGTATGGACTAGTGTGTACATGTGTTTACTTAATTAATATGTACACATGAAGATTAGGCTAGATACATGTAGGAGTTCTACTATAAATACCCATGTATGCTAGCCATTTGGAGCAAGTGAAGTTGAATAGAAATCATCCTTTCCTCCACCTCTCTAATAGTGAGTTTTGAGTGTTTGTTTAGTTGTCTTGCTCTCCCAAAATTTTCTAACAGTTATTGCCCCTCCCCTTTTCCGTTCCTGAGCCGAGGGTCTATCAGAAACAATCTCTCTAACTTCTTAAAGACAGGGTAAGGTCTGCATATACTATACCCTTCCTAGATCTCACTGTGGGACTACACTGGTAATGTTGTTGTTGTAAAATGCGACAATACGGATATCATTGTATTTGTATATTCCTTACATGAAAGTTAAAAGTTGCTGAATCATATGGTTTTGCGCTCTACTATAAAATAAGCTAAAAATTGTCTGATGCTCTATAAATATGCATTTAACTAATCCACTTATGAGAAACCACATGTTTAATACTATGTAAATTGAAAAGAACTCATGCACCTGCCTCAACCCTCATATAGTTCCAAATGTGTGCGTCCAATAAGGGCAGCCCGGTGCACGAAGCATCCCGCGTCTACGCAGGGTCCGGGAAAGGGCCGCACCTCAACGGGGTGTAATGTAGGCCGCCTACCGTGATGCAAGCATCAGTGGTTGATTCCATGACTCGAATAAAAAAAAAATTTATTTTGAATCAATGTCTCACGACCTTTTTAGAGAATATAAGTGAAAAGGACCAAATATGATTTTTATCTTTTATTTACACTTTGTTTCTCCTTCTCCCTGGAAAACTCACACACTAGTTTTAGATTTTCAAATCAGCAGTATAGTGTTCGTCTTATCTCAAAAAACTTGTTCTACTTTTCCTTTTTAAATTGTCTGAAATTGTTATTCAAATTTACATACCACAAAGTTAAAATATGATGCTAAATGTTTTCAACATATACTTAATCAGTATTCATATCTTTAAGTCTTGTCTTAATAATTGTATCAATTAAAGCGAACGATCATTTATTTATTGCACAAAAAATTTGGAGCTATATGAGTTTAGTGGTAAGTGGTAGGTGCAAATGTGCTTTCTTCACCCATTAAAAAGTATCTGTGCCATTATGCAACATGAATCATTCATCCAACACAAGACAAATTTTCAGCTTATTTTATGTAGCAGAAAACTATATGATTGCAGCAACTTTTAACTTTCATATATGGAATACTATATACTATAATGGAAGTTCACACGTCGCTTTGTTATTATTCTTTCCTTTTACTTAGATTTCGATTACTTCCTGATATTACTTCTGCTTCGGTGTATTATTAGATTGCTATTGTTTCTGCATATTTCCCTTCTTGTTTCCTGCATCTCTTGTTCTAAATTGTTGTACTTATACTTGCCTGAGCCGAGGGTCTATCCCAAACAGTCTCTATACCTGCACAAGGTAAGAGTAAGGTCCTTATATTTTTGTTGTGGTTGTTTGCATGTCGCTTTGTTAGTAAATATTGCTAGTAACAGAATATATGGATTCAATTTTAATATTTTTTTGACTCACTCTCAAGTAAGTAGCTTATTCGAACGTTGTGAATTCGTTCCCGCCTTTGCAATATCAGCGCATCTTGTGCCACAGAATCGGTTGTGCTCTCTATCAGAAGATTGACTTGTGTGGAAGGTTGACTCTGAACTACGTCATTACTAGACGGAAATGGCACGGCAAGAGGAGCAGGATATTGGGCTTGTATATACACTGGATGAAGCACTCACATCACTTGGTTTTGGGAAATTCCAATATTTGGTTTTGGTTTATGCTGGTCTTGGTTCTATGGCTGAAGCATTTGAAATTATGATTCTGTCATTTATAGGACCAGTGCTAAGGTCAGAGTGGGAACTTTCTCCTACTCAAGAAAGTCTTATAACAACTGTTGTTTTTGCTGGTATGCTCATTGGATGTTATTATTGGGGCTTTATCACTGATAATTATGGAAGAAGGTACACCTATTTTCCCCTTTTTCTCCTTATTTATCACTTAATGCTTCTTTTCTCAGTATATCGAAAATAGATTCTCTACCTTCTCAAGATAGAGGTAAAGTTGCGTACACTATCCTCCCGAAACCCTATTTATGGGATTATACTGGGTTTGTTGTTATTGGTCTCATTATCTGTCGTGATGAATAAACTCAAACAAGCATAATAGTGGAGAAGTTTATACTTGGTTTAGTTTATTTCTTTGGAATCTGGGAAATTTTCCAACAAAATAATCAGCTGTGGGATGGTTGAGTCTAGCAATTGCTCAGCTGAGCTAACATAAGTTCATGTTTTAGGGTGTATTTGGTATGAAGGAAAGAAAATATTTTTCGCAAAGATAATTGATTTTCTTATTTATTTTCTTATGTTTGGTAAGTAAGCAGAAAGTAATTCAAAAAATATTTATATATAATTTAGACAAGCACTATGGGTGTCGGTGGGGTGGGGTGGGCTGGGGGTGGAGGTGAGGGCGGTAGGAGTGGGACAGGGGTAAGGAGGTGGGGTATGGCCATATGGGTGAGTCGGGGTTCCACGTGGGGGTGGGAGTGAGGTGAGGAGACAATCAGCTTGGAATGTGTCCTCATTTTTAAGCTAGAGAAAAATATTTTGACCAACCAAACATGAAAAAATTGAAAACACACCCTTAGTGATAATTTAAGGGTATTAATCAACAAATTAAGGATGTAGAGGAGAAGATAACAAAGTCATTATCTTTGGTTTAATTTGTCACACATCACTTCATTTTGAATGACTATCTATTTTCATTTTCCATTACCAGGAATGGTCTTCTGAGTGTTGCAATAGTGACTGCTGCACCTGCAGCACTGACTACTTTTTGTCCAAATTATATTTGGTTTCTTGCTCTACGTATGATGGTTGGATTTGGCGTAGGCGGAGGTTATGTATACGGATCTTGGCTTCTAGAATTTATTCCTCCACAAAACAGAGGCATGTGGATGATTATTTATTACGCGTTTTGGACAATTGGAACAATACTTGAGGCTTTATTAGCAATGGTACATCCGCAGCTTGTGCTCCCCTTAATCTGTACTCACATAATAGATAGTGCTAACACTTCGTTAGATAAATACTTACCTGCACCTGGTGTTTACACCAGATGAAGCAATTCAAGGCATTTCGTTGATGTAACGCTTGAAAAAACTTAAGGCATTCTCTATTGGTTTCTGTTGCAGGTGATTATGCCAACATTAGGTTGGAGATGGTTACTGGCTTTATCATCTATACCATCATTTGCAGCACTTTTCTTGTATGTATTTACAGTAGAATCTCCAAGATATCTATGTGCCAAAGGTAGAATAAACGACGCGTATGATATTTTGAGGAAAATAGCTGAGGTCAATAAGACAGAACTTCCCCCTGGAATCCTTGTTACTGATCAAGTGACTGACCTGAATGAGGAATTGCTTTCCCCTGGAGAAAACAAAACCTCAAGTTTTAAATCAGGCTTCTCATCGCTACTGATGCTTCTATCCCCTTCGCTACGAAGAAATACCCTCCTCATATGGGTAGTTTTTATTGGAAATGCTTTCTCATACTATGGCATTATATTGCTAACCTCACAGTTTAGCAGTGGACAAAGTAGACATTCATCAGTTGCTTTGTATGTGAACAATGATCAGAGCCTCTATAGAGATGTGCTCACCACTAGTCTTGCAGGTAAAAACAATGTTGTTTTTCCTTCATTTCATCTAAGTTGCTTAGACATGGCAGTTTAGGTGCCGCACCCGTGTCGACACGACTCTAGTATGGGTATGGGATCCGTACCGGATTTGGTCAAACAGTTTTGGGTACTTTGACCACGAAGGACGGAAAAATTCGAGACGAGATACAATTTGATTCCCGATTTCAGAACCAAAACTAGGGTAAATTTGAAGAAAATAGCATGCTTTATCTAGGAAATCAATCCTTTACCTATCTACAACTTGAAAATGAAAAAGAAATCCACACTTTACAAGATATACGCAAGTATTCCACAATTTTCTCATATTTTGGATTTTTTTTTATTTTTTTTTTTTTGAATTACTTTTAGCCGGATTCCCGGAGTCGAATTCGTATTAGGATCCATATTCCCGAATCTTAGAATTTAATCTGACCTCTAGATCCGCACCCGTGTCCGAGCAACTTAGCATTTCATGCATACAACTAATCTTTCAGTTATTTGCTTCTTTTTTTGTCTTTTTTTCTTTTTGTACTTTCAGAGATTCCTGGCCTTCTTATATCAGCTATAATGGTGGAGAAAGGTGGTCGAAAATTTACTATGGCACTTATGTATATCTTAGTCATCCTCTTCCTTTTACCACTTCTTATGCCTCGGCTTCATGAGGCTTTAACTACTACTTTACTATTCGGGGCACGTATGTTAATCACAGCAAACTTCGACATCTCAAATGTATATTGTCGAGAGGTAACCCTCGCCCCTTAGCTTAATGCAATTCTGCACACTTTTTACTGTGTATATATTAAGATGTCGACTGAAGGGGAGTCTTGGAGCAACAGTAAAGTTGTCTCCGTGTGACCTATAGGTCACGAGTTTGAACCGTGGAAGTAGCTACTAATGCTTGCATTAGGGTAGGCTGTCTACATCACACCCGCTAGGGGTGTGGCGCTTCCCCGGACTCTGCGTCAATACAGGATGCTTTGTGCACCGGGTTGCCTAACTATAAGAATGTAAGCTTTTGAAACGTCTGTTTAGAGAAATCAGTTTGACAATAGAATATGCTTTATTATGCAGATATATCCAACGAGTGTAAGGTCAACTGGTATTGGAACAGCAAGTTCTGTGGGAAGAATAGGAGCCATGATTTCTCCAATCATTGCAGTGCAATTAGTAAGGGATTCTCATCAAGTGGCTGCAATCATATTTTTTGAAGCAGTTCTTGTTTTATCAGCAACATGTGTTATGCTCTTCCCAATAGAGACCAAGGGAAGGAAACTGATTGATACTCTTGTTGTCTAAAGTTTGGACTCGATCTATCTTATTTGAATTGAAGTTTGCTCTACATTGGAGAAGGAAGCAGAGAAAATAGGTTACTTGTGTAAATATTTTACTTCATGAAACTCCTCTTGGTCTGATCATGAAATAAAAGTTCTTATTTTTGGGTATAACCATGTGATATCCGATACTCATTGGCTCGACTAATTCAGAACTCGGGTGGCTTTTCCCGTATGACCTTTAGAAAAACTACGACCAATCAGGAAAAAAAAAACTGAAGAGTAAAGTTCCTGTAATGCATAAATACATGTCAACTCATATAAACTACTGCTTATCACCATCTTATAAGATTTGAACAGTTTCAGTATAACATTATAGTAGCAGAACCGCTAAGGTGCAAGTTCAATCCAAGCTTATTAAGCTTAGTTACTTTACTAAGAACCCCTAAAGCTAATCAGGTTATGTAGTTTCTATTAATTTGGTGTTTAGTGTGGCTTTTTAGGTGCAATTTATGCTATTTTTGGGTCTGGTGCCATTTATTGTGTTGCAATTTATTGTGCAACTGATAAACGATCAACCAAAGATCACTTAGGCGATTTCTAGCTAACACATAGACGATCTATGATTTCACCACGATCTCTCACTCATAAAAAAATAATCCTAGTAATAACTGTAAACAATCAACAAGAGATCACATAGGCACACCTATTCCTCCCTCGTCACCCTCACACCCCAAATAAGAATATTTTACGTAGAGTTCCTGATATCAAGACTCGCAAGTCACAACCATCGATTGGAGTCTCACAATCCCCCTTTATCCAAAATAAAAAATAAAAAAATCACGTGTTTGCAAATGAAAAAAGATCAGGCTCACACATGAGAGACTGTAGTAAAGTTATAATTAAAGTGATTACACAAATTTTATAAATTTAAATAATAACAAACCAAAAACAAAGTGGGATTACACAAATTCAACAATTTTGGCATTCAGGTGAGACGGTTCAGTTGTTATTAGTCTTTTCTCAAGTCTTAAACATTTTGTTGCTCAAGAATTATTCATCCAACATTTCTCAAAAAAAAAGAAAATTCATCCAATGTAAAAAAAATAAAAATAAAATAAAAAAACATTGCCTTCCCGAGATGGCTATACAGACTAAAACATTGCCTTCCCGAGATGGCTATACAGACTCAATTACAGAATTCTGCAGTCTCTTCGATCCAAAGTCATATGACAGCTTCTCAAAATTTCTGCTCTTTCTACTCAAATAGAAGTTTGAGATCAACAACCAAAATCTGTATATTCCATGTTTTAGGCATATGACAAAAATCAAAGGAATCTCATACTGCTATGGTATTTAGTACTTCGCTTGACATATTATAAGAGCTGCCACAGTTTAGCACCCGCAATGACTTTTGCATGCGGCCTTCATAAGACTGGTGCCAAAGGAACAATCATTTACCAAATCCTAATATCTCTGCTTTTCGAAATACACGGCATCTTCTCTTTATAACTTTCCATAAGCAAACTACAATGCAACACAGGCTACAGACAAAAGAATATCCACATATAAACTTAAAATGGAAAGCTGTAGCTTCAAGAATAGGACAACTGACTTGAAATTAGAATTACGCACCTAATGCATCGTCTACGTAACTTGAAGCAGTCACATCTTACAAGAAGCTATTCTGAAATCTCCCCTACTTTTTCTCGTTAGCCTTCTTCTTGAGTGACCCACTCAGTGCTGCTTTTGTTTTTGTCCACTCTTTCATTGAAGCAGCACTCCTCATGAAAGAACAAGTATCACTGAAGCTAGTATCTCCTACAAATGCTTGTTTTGGTGCAGATAGGTGTTTCTTTTCAGGAGTTGGAGCCAAGGCTTCATTCATTACTTCTCCTTTCTGCTGATAATTGTCCAGCTGCGGAATCTCTTTACTGAGATGAACATTCTTCTGCTCCTCTACTATGGTACCCCCACTGCTAGTTCCAGGGACACTGAGAGCATCAGCTTTGGTCCCTTCCTCAGATGTAGAAGTATCTTGGAAATCGCTTTTACCCGTGCTGCTACATTTTTGAACCTTTACAGTCTCTCCCATCACTGCCAACTCTGGTTTTGGATAACTTAGACCAGGCAAAACCTGTGAAATGCTAAATGAACTGGTGGTATCACGAACTAACTGTGTCCACGATAATTTTTGTCGCCATGCAGCACCTCTGGCATAAAGATCCACAGGGCCATCAACATTGTCAGTTGAATCTTCAGCAACTTTACCCAGCTCTTCATGCTGATCGGATACTTTCTCATCTTTCTCGCCAACACATTCAGAGCCAGACTGCATCTCATTACCAGGAATAGCACTTGGCAGAACATCTGATACACTGAACATAGCACCACTACTTACACTAACGAGATCTTTTTTGTCACGCTGATCTGATACTTTCTCATCTTTTTTGTCAGAGAAGGACACACTAACACCTTCAGAGCCAGACTGCATCTCTTTACCAGGAATAGCACTTGGCAGAGTACCTGATACACTGAATGTAGAACCACTAATCGCGCTAATGTGATCTTTTTTGTCATGCTGATCTGATACTTTCTCATCTTTTTTGTCAGAGAAGGACACGCTAACACCTTCAGAGCCAGACCGCATCTCTTTACCAGGAATAGCACTTGGCAGAATATCCGATACACTGAACGTAGCACCACTACTTGCACTAACGAGATCTTTCCATGGAGACTTCTTCGGCAATGTGGCTCTACTATTTTCTGAAGGTGCTTTTCTCTTTGCTTCAGGTTTAGATGGCAAAGTATGTCCCTCGCCATCTTCATCTTCTGCAGGTGCTTTTCTCTTTGAAGACATCTTCCTTCCTTGCCTTTGTTTATCTGTAGCAAGTCGTGATTCCTTGGATAGCGAATTCTGGGGTCAAACATGCACGCACAAAAGGAACAAGAAAACTGAGATACTAATACCTTGTTTAGAAAGTGTAGGGAAAGCAAATGTAGAACATAACAGAATATGAACCTGAATAGCTGCGATTGCTTCCTGGGTTGGATCTTTGAACATAGTGGTTTTATCATTTGCACCAGCCACTACATTTATAATAAGGTTATCATCATCTTCGTCCATTTCTTGGTCGACAAAATTATCATTAGCTGTCATTGCTTCCTGTGTTGGATCTTTTAACACAGTGGTTCTATCATTTGCACCAGCCACCACATTGAGAATGAGGTTATCATCATCTTCCATTTCTTGGTTGACTAGATTCTTATCATTCTTCAAATGATCAACTGTAACTTTTGAGCCTCGAACTACCTTAGATGATTTAAAACCCCTAGGAGCCTGCTCAGAGTAGTTCTCTCGCTCAAAAATTTTGTTCAACACTGAGTTCATAATGTTCAATTCTTTCTCATCGATTCCAACATTCTTTGAGTCATAATCAACAAATGATTTTTGCTTTGTTGTATCAGGAGGACCAGAGTGCTCTTCGCAATCACAAAAATGGATAGGTAATGAAGGAATGTCCACTCGCTGAAAACTGTATTTGTGCTTGCCAGTTCCTCTAAAAGGCACTGATTTTAACTGTACAAAGAGATTCCAGAAGCATGATTTTTGACATAAAAGAGGCATAGCCTTACTAAATGAGAGAGCATTCAAATGTAAAGCATGAATATCCAAGTCATCTTTCCCACCATATGTAATTCAAGAATAATTGCATCCAGGGAAGCATGTCATAACCAAGCACAGGGAAATAAGGATTTACCTTTCCTAACTTAGGGAAGTAAATCCGAAGCTGCATTTCATCCATCTTGGACCCTTTCTTCTGATATTTAAGGGAGTTTTTCATTTCGGCTGCAGCAGTGGCAAGATGGGCATCTTCTTCTGTATTGGGAAGATGGGCAGAAGTAGTGGCAAGTGCAGCATCTTCTTCCCATTCACGTTTCAAACGTAGGAAAAAATGCTCCTTTGCCTTCTCTATTCTAAGTCTCCCACCTTTCCACATGCATCCATTATACTGCAGATCAAATTGGATTAATGCCAATAAGCATCGAGGTAATACGATTATGTAGAGAGTTGATTATTGCTGCAAGTTCAACGTGATTATATGAATTACACATCCGAAGTCCCTTATACAATAGACAACAGTAAGCACTAAAAAATCGCAGACCCCACTTGTGGGATTACACTGGGCTTGTTATTATTGTTGCTATCTTGCATTGCACCTATTTATCTAAGAATTGAAGTTATATACATGGACATTGTAACTAACTTTTTACACTAGCAGTGTAATTTAACCTATTATAGCAAGTTATTTGCCCCTTATTCTAGGCTACCAATCAATATAGACTACCGTGCAGTTATCTTTGAAATGACCTCTGTAAAATATTTTTCATAGAACTTAAACTCTTTATCTAATGAAAGCAAGCAATTTAACATATACCTTAGAGCACAGCAAAAAGTTAGCTGAGTTACTACGAAAAAAACAGCTAAAATAAAGAGTAAAATCGAGAGATATTTATACCGTGCTGAAAAGCTTGGCTAAGGATTTATCGGAAGAAGGAAGTAAATCCAAGTAAGCAAAGCTGCGGCCTTTGGTTCGAACGATGTCCATAGATTCCACTTTTCCGAGTTGTGGTGTTGAGAATGTCTTCTTCAAATCCTCCGCCGTCACACTTTCGCCTAAACCTCCTACATATATCCTTGTAGTTGATGTATCGCCGCTTTCGGCCTTCGCCATCTCTGCCGGTACCGCCATGTCCAACGCAACAAGCCTTGGTCGAAAACCTAGTGCGTCTTTGTTGACGAAAAAGAAAGAGTAAATTACACTTTCCACACTAGAGTTTGTCAGCTGAATCATACCCACCCCCACCCCCACCCCACCCCCTCCTACCCCCACCATTTGAAGTTTTGAACTCCTTCATTTTCTTCGTTTTTTTAATTATTAAAGAAGAAAAAATAATCTAACCAACTAAACTATGCTATACAAATGTTTAATTAATTTATTTCATGAAATTGGAATTAGACATTCTTTAATTATATTGATTATTTTTATTTTTCCTTGATCTAAATTCTATTTAATTAACTTTCAATGCATTTCAAAAGACGCATAAAATTGCTAATTTTATACTAAGATATATCATTTGTCATTAGAGGTGTGTTTGTTACCAAGTAAAATAATTTTTTTTTAACATGCTTAATTGGTTTAAATACTTAATTCTATGACAGGACCCATGAAGCAGACGTAGAGGTAAAGCTTGATGCTCAAGTTATCCCCAAGAGAGCGAGTTTCAAGTATCTCGGGTCTATTATCCAAGGTAACGGGGAGACTGACGAAGATATCGCACACCGCATCGGAGCGGGATGGATGAAGTGGAGGCTCGCTTCCGGTGTTTTATGTGATAAGAACGTGCCGCCAAGACTTAAGGGCAAGTTTTATAAAGTGGTGGTTCGACCAGCTATGTTGTATGGGGCTGAGTGATGGCCAGTCAAGAACTCCCACGTGCAGAAGATGAAAGTAGCAGAGATGAGGATGTTGAGATGGATGTGTGGGTGTACCAGGAGAGATAAGATTAAGAATGAAGTTATCCGACACAGAGTGAGAGTAGCCTCCGTGGAGGACAAGATGCAGGAGTCGAGGCTGAGATGGTTCAGACATGTTAAGAGAAGAAGCATTAATGCCCATGTTAGGAGGTATGAGAGGTTGGCCATGGCGAGTTTGAGAAGAGGTCGAGGTAGGCCTAAGAAGTACTGGGGAGAGGTGATTAGACAGGACATGGCGCTGCTTCAGCTTACTGAGGACATGACCCTTGATAGGAGGCTGTGGAGGTCGAGAATTAAGGTAGAAGGTTAGTGGGTAGTTTTTAGTTGATCACCGATAGTCTTAATAGCACGCATGTCCCTTCATATTCTTAGATTTTATTACGTTATGTGGTTTTGTTCGCTTCAGGTATTGTATTCCTTGTTGCTAGTATTTGGTACTACTTATCCTTTATCTCTCCCTTTTTCTTTTCTCTTCCCTCTTTCTTCCTTTCTTGCTATCCACTTCTTCTCGTTACCCTTCTTAAGCAGAGGGTTTATTGGAAACAACCTCTCTACCTGTTAGGTAGGGATAAGATTTGCGTACAGACTATTCTCCCCAGACCCCACCTGTTGAGAACATACTGGGTTTGTTTATGTTTATGTAATTGGTTTAAATACTTAGAAAAATATTTTCATAATTTAAAAAAAATAATAACTTTCCTACCAAGAGCAGGAAATCTTTCAACCTTCGCAATTTCCTTTAAAGTTTCTAGTATTAATCGCATCGGAAAGGGACGAGGACTGCAAGAATAAAAAAAAATCGGATTAAGGCCAAGCTTCTCCGAGCCAAAAGTATTTTTTTTAAATAAACGGAGAAGGGCCTAAAATGCCCCTTTACTATATGAAATAGGACAAGCTAGCCCTCCGTTAAAAGTTGGTCTCTATTCTGCCCTTGCCGTTAACAAATGGACTCGTATATGCCCTCCATCACTAACGGGAGACTCATAAAGCCACGTGGAATATATGTGAGGGCAAGTTAGACCTAGTTCGAATTGTACAGGGGCATATATGAGTCAGTTATAATAGTCATTTCTCAAACACTTCACAACTCCAAATCAATTTACTTAGACACCTATTTGACAACACCAAACTAATTATCACAGCAAATAAACTAAGTCATAGACACAAACATTCAAATGAACGACAATGACTTCATTAAATCCTAGTAGCTCAAAGGGGTCGAATCATAACAAAAGACAGCAAGAGATAATGTCGGAATGTTCTAGTAGCTCAAAGGGGTCGAATAGGAGGTGTCATTACGGACTTACTGCCAATTATTTCATGGCATGGACACCTTTAAATGCTGGGAGAAGGTTTTTCAAGTGCCTGAAGCATGAGGTAAGAATTTTTTTTGATAGGTTCTTTTAATTATTCCGATTTGCTTGTAAATTTGTTTTATTTATTTTTGGTTTTTAGGATGACAAATATTCCTATTGGGAATGGCAAGATGAAGAGCTTCCTCCTAGAGTTTCAAATCTCATATGCAGTTTAAAGAAGGAAAAAGAAAATTTGATCTTGACAATGTTATGATGCTCACCGATCATGGAGGAATAGAAGCCTTGGAATTGGAAAGAAATGTCCTAATGAAGAAAGTGACCGATTTAGAGTACTCAGTTGTGCTTGATGCTAAATTTCGGAAGAAGATGTAGATTTTCATGTGTGTGATATTGGGATGTCTTGTTATGTTCTTTGAATTAGTGGGAAATGATATGTAATATTAGTGTTATTGTGGCTTATTAACTGTTGTCTTTTATTATGTAATGAAGCTTTATGTTTTTGTACAAGGATTTAATGAAGTCATTGTCGTTTATTTGAATATTTGTGTCTATGACTTAGTTTATTTGCTGTGATAATTAGTTTGGTGTAGACATGTGATTTTTGACCCTCCCCAAGATTTTTCATATTTTAGCACGTAAATATTTAATTTAGGCCTAATATAGCTATTTCAACTAATTTTTACTCTTTTACTTTATTGTATTACAAGAAAAATAAAAATTACAAAAATTATTCCATTAATGTTTTGTAGTCATTTTTAATCTTGAAAAATACCAAAAAATAGTTTATTTTAACGGTCAGTCTTATTTTAAACAGTTATTTTATTTAAGTAGTACTACTTAATAAATAAGGTCGTATTTTAGTCCCGTTCGCAGGAAAAGAATAAAACTTGGGCTCGAGCAACCCATTTTTAGGCCTAATTTTGGACCTAACCCATAACTGCCAAGCCCATAATTCCTAGACGCATACCCCTAACCTAATCCCTACCCCACCCCGTATAATACTATCTAATCCCTAAATAAAAACTACACCCTAAAAATTAGAATCCGTTTCCAAAAAAAAAAAGGCCCCCTCCCTGATCTAGTCTTCTTCTCAAAAGAAAAGAAGCCATTTTCCATGGCTGTCGGTTGAATAAGAAAGAACAGAGAACGACCATCACTCCCAAAACCTCACTCTCAGTTCTTCTTCTTCTTCTCTTAAAAAAAAAAAAACTCTCTTTCCATTCAAAATTTTTCATTTTTTTACATTACAAAAACGGACAAAAAAAAAAAAAAAAGAGACAAGAGGCAAAAAATCTTATCTCCTAAAACTTGAGAGCTCATTCTCTCATTCAAGGAAAGTTGCAGCGAAAGAATGAGAGTGGATTTCCTTTCCTTTGCAGTTCAATTTGTCTTCTGCTTCTATTCACTTTGCATCAACGGAAGTGAGGTTGCCGTTTGAAGTCCGTTCAAGGTGCGGTCCGTGATTCTATTCGAGTTCGACCAGATTTTGCTCGTAACGGCGCTATTCTCTTGGTTGTAATTAGCTGGAAATTTTCTTCAATTAAAAGATTATTTAAGGTCCACTTCTATTCTTTCTCTTGTCAGCTTATTTTCCTTAAATTGATATATGGTTGTTGAATAAAGTTATTCTTCTTACTGTGTCGAATTGTTTAATTAGGGGAAGAATGCACGTCACTCTGTAGATATTGTTTTGGATTTCATTAATCATGCTTAAATTAATGCTTATTAGTTAATTCATTTCAAAGGCTATTGTACTGTTACAAAGGTACTGAAATTGGGCCATGGGCATAATCCACTTTGTTGCTAATAATCAGTTTGTTGCTTCAAGTGTTACAATTAGGTAACATTCACAAAACCAACTTTGTTGGCAATTAAGTTGCTATTTATCAGATTGTTGCTTCAAGAGAAGTTGGTCCAGTGGCGTCATTAGTGTGGCCTTAGCAAAATTGTCGTTGCTTTGTTCTTTGATAATTATATTTTGCCATAAGTAATTACAAAGTTAATTCTCCCATAACAATCTTCCATAACTTTAGTCTTGCAATAATCCCAAATTAGTTTTAGGAAAATCCTGAACGTCGTAGTCTGCTTTAGTTAAGTAAAAGCTTGTAAAATAATTTGAGGCGTGCCATGCCAAATAAAACCCCTAAGCCCATGGCCCTCACAAAATTAGTTAGCTTTTTATAGAAAAGTTGAGGGGTGCCATTAGTTGAATTTTCCATGGCCCTCGCAAACTTGAAAGTGCGTAGTTGCTTTAGGCGCGCTATTTTAAAAATTAATTTCCTTAACTCGGGTGTGCATTTCATGTGACCCAAATCCAAATCTCAACAACGTTAGATAAAACGTGTTGTGGACCGCGGGTGCATTTCATGTGACGTGGTTCAAGACGTGTTTTAGATAACGTTGAATCTTTCTAAATTAATTAAAAGCGGTTAATAAGTTAAAATTGTACCATATGCTAAAACATGTATTAAAATCAGATAATAGGCCAATTGTAATAGTTTAAGCGACCGTGCTAGAACCACGGAATCCGGGGATGCCTAACACCTTCCCCGGGTTAACAGAACTCCTTATTCAGAATTTCTGGTTCGCATACTTCAAAAGTAAAGTCGAATTTTCCTCGATTTGGGATTTAAAATAAACCGGTGACTTGGGACACCAGAAAACAAACCATCCCCTGTGGCGACTCTGAATAAAATTGAATAAATAATCCCATTTCGAATAATGTCACTTAAAGTGGAAAAACTCCCTTATATATACCTTCGGGTGTGTAAAAAAAGGAGGTGTGACATCTGGTGTTGTCAAATAGGTGTCTAAGTAAACTGATATGGAGTTGTGAAGTGTTTGAGAAATGACTATTATAACTGACTCATATATGCCCCTGTACAATTCGAACTAGGTCTAATTTGCCCTCACATATATTCCACGTGGCTTTATGAGTCTCCCGTTAGTGATGGAGGGCATATACGAGCCCATTTGTTGACGGCAAGGGCAGAATAGAGACCAACTTTTAACGGAGGGCTAGCCTGGCCTATTTCATATAGTAAAAGCGCATTTAGGCCTTTTCCGTTTAATAAAAAAAGTATACTTTTTTTTCAAAGTTGAATACTTTGTAGTGTTTGGCCAAACTTTTAGAGGGGAAAAATACTTTTGAGTTGAAGCAGAAGCAGTTTTAGAGAAGAAAAAAAAAGTAACTTTCTTCTAAAAGTACTTTTCAGAAAAGTACACTTAAACAGTTTTTAAAAGCTTGGCCAAACATTAATTGCTGCTCAAAAGTACTTTTTAAGTAAATTAACCAAACACAAATTACTTCTCACCAAAATATTTTTGAAAAAAATATTTCTCAAAATAAGCTAATTTTTGTAGCTTGGCTAAACTGACTATAAGAGGTCATATTAGAAATAGGAATTATTGGGGGTAAAATTTAAAAAGTCAAAAAAGGGTAAAACAAAATAAAAAGGAAAAACCAAGTTCGGCCCTTTCAGCTTCAAATTACCTGCCGCTTGCGGTTCTTTCTCTGACGGAGTTAAATGGTACGCATGTTTCTCTTTCTCTGTCGCCTGCTTTTTTCTACTATATATTTTCTTTTCTGTCTGATCTCTGATTTATGCTAAAACCCTCGTCACTTTTTGCAGCGATTAAAACACAACCTTAAGATTATTCTCTCTGTTTGTTTCCATTTCTCAAATAAAGCCGATATCACAGTTCTGTGTGAGTTTTACTAGTTAATATATGCTTTATTTGCCTCCCACTTGTTACTAGCTTGAAGTTGTGATTGGTATATTAATTTGCAGAGGATGCATAGAATCAATTTTGTGACTAATTATAGCAACCTTTCTTGTGTCGTGCATTAACATAAAGTGGTAGTGGTGATATGAAATTATGGAACTAAGCTTTGTGGCAATATACAAGTAAATTGGGTAAATTTGATTGAACTGCTGGAAATCTGTCTTTCTAATTTAGTCTTTGGTGTTATGTTCAGAATGTGTCATATATAATGGGATTAAACAATGTCAAAGTAGTTCGGAAGGACGAACTACGTTGTGGGGTTATTCCGGCAATCTCTTTACTTAAGGTAGAAAGGAAAAAGACAGCCCGATGCACTAAGATCCCGTTATGCATAGGATCGGGGGTGGGGCAGGACCATATTGGGTCGTATGTACGCAGCCTTACCTTGCATTTCTGCAATAAGATGTTGTTTCCGTGGCTTGATGTGACCCCCAACTTTACTGTGTATTGCTTTGGCGGTCCTTCTCAAAATTTTAACCATGATAATTATGTGTTTTGTTTCTATTTGTACCATTCGTTTGTTTTCGATGGGGTTGTTTTGCATCTTCTTCTCTGGAATTAACTCGATGTTTCTAATTTTCAGATGATAACTCATTTTCAAAAATTTCCAGATGATAAGGTCTAGGATGTGATGAGGTGGAACAAAGATGTGAGTCGTTGCTTACTCTTTTTGGTCAGGCGCTACTCTAGATCGGTGGGCCATTCTGCACTAGCAAATCGTGGTCAACCTGTGATTCGAGTGTCAAACAGTATAACACATTTGGGCCGTCCAAAGGAGGGTGCAAAGCCTAGTCAGCTATTGTCTTTGCCCCCATTTCCTAGCCATCCTTTGCCGGGAAAGAAAGCGGCCACCAGTCCTGACCAACCATCTCGTCATGTTACTGCCATTAGCTGGATCAAATACTATTTTGATGAAATACCAGGCTCGGTCATCCAATCCCATTTTAATAAGGGCCTCGTAAGTATTCTTGTATCTTTCCTTTTCCTATGTGAGTTTACTGTTTTTTTTCTATTTCTTTAGTAAATTACATTCCTCTTTCGGGGATTCATTGTACAACTAGTACATAGACTATATCTATGGCTAAATACTAAACCGTGGAGATCAGGGTTCAAACCCCAAACAGAGACAAGAAGCACTAGCTGATTTTTTACCATCTGTCTAACTTATGGTGGGTGGAGTTACCTGGTATCTGTGCTAGTGGGAGGTAGAAGGTATCCGATGGAATAGGCGAGGTGTGCACAAGCTAGCTTGAACACCACCGTTATCAATAATATTAGCACAATGCTTGTGACAAAGTGCTGTAGAGAAACATAAATATGCAAGCCACAGAGGACAGTTTTATGGATAACCAATGAGAAATTCATTTGAACATGGATAAATGACATATTATATTATTATTCATCATCCAATAGTATGTTGACTTGTAATTTTGTTGTTCTTAGTCTTTATATGTGTTCATGGCTGGTTCAGACTTCAGACATAATATTGAAATTATGTCTCACGACAACTTCAAGAAGAGATATTTTGTTTCATAAGGTAGATAAAATCTGTTCGCTATAAAAAAGCAGATAAAATCTGTTAAATGTGCATTTGTTTCTGCTCCTCCTCTTCTCCTGGGTTTAGAATATGACCTTTATCTTACCCTTTTGAAGGGCTAATGGCTATAGTGTCTTTATTTTCTTGCAGTGAATATGAATATCACGACAGTTATCTTATCTTTCTTGATTTACAGGTTCAGTTAGAGTTTAATGAGTCATCTACAAGCAAGGAAGGACAAACAAGATTGCCGAGAAAGGTAGTGATGCTTATATGATTCTAGCAGTATAGGCTTCATTTTGGATATTGAAAGATGCAAACATCAAGACCTGAGGGGCTCCTTCTATTTGTTTTTGGACCCCGTGTTACATTCCCAATGCATTCCCCTATTTTACAATTTCACAGTGAATTTACAGATTAAGCATTCTGAGGTCATGGAAGTTGGTGCAAGAGTTTATGTGCCCATATCTGTTGCTGAAACAAAAATCTCAAAACGATATGATGTTATACCTAGTGGCACTTTGTACCCCAATGCTGATGAGATAGCGTACTTGCAAAGGCTTGTATTTTACAAGGTATGTGTTTGTTTATCTGTTTGCTTTTCTGCAAATTTTACATTAGTTTTCCACTATTTGTGGTGGCTAGAGATGATACAACCACTGTGGTTATTTTTGCTGCTTTTTATGTTCATTTCACGAAATGATTTGGTGGAACTATGCACCAAAGGTTATGCTTGTTTCCTGTAATTAATTAATTGTTCAAACTGTAGGACCCTGCCATAATTGTGCTAAACAAGCCCCCTAAACTGCCTGTGAAGGTTAGACTCTAATGTGTTCTTTGTTGGGCAATCGTGACAACAACATTTTTCAGCCTTTTTTCTTCATTTCTAATTATTAGAGCGACTTCAGGGAAACCTTCCCGTGCATAATAGCATGGATGCCTTGGCAGCTGCAGCATTGTCCTATGAATATGACGAGGGTCCTAGGCTGGTAAGTCAGCATTTCTGAAGTGCTATTAATCAAAACTTTGAAGATCTATTTACTTCTAATTTTCCTGAAGATATCTGGTGTCTTCTAGTAGTCAAAAAAGGGGAGTTATTTTTTTGTTGGCAAAGAAGCAATTGTTGGGGTGGAGATTTTCGTTGTGGATGTTAATTTGGAATTAAGTTCAGCTTTGATGATGATTGCATATATTGTCAAGGTACATCGTCTTGATAGAGAGAGCAGTGGCCTTCATTTAATGGGAAGAACAGAAGAAAGTATCTCCCACCTTCATTTGTTGTTCAGCAACGCAAAAAGGTCCAAGTCACTGTCTAAGGTACTTAGTCTGCAACTGCATTTTCCATTTGTCTTTACTTCCTTTCCTTCTTCAAGGGAGAAAGGATTGGTATTTTGTTGTGTGGGTGAGAATTCTCTTTTGACCTCATTGGTTGAGTAGGAATTTTTCTGTGATGCATAAAGCTCTGATTGGCATTCAGGCATGGAATGATGCATGTGGATCAACGTATCAGAGGTATTGGGCGTTGGTAATAGGTTCCCCCAAGGAGAAGGAAGGCATAATCTCTGCACCACTTACAAAGGTTTTTCAGTTCCCTTGCTTACATTTGCAGGCTTCGGTCAAGTAGATTGGAGTATTCATTGTGCTTGTTTTCATTGACTGCAGGTGCTTCTTGATGATGGTAGAACTGAGAGAGTCATGTTGGCTCAACATTCAGGATTAGAAGCTTCTGAGGAGGCTATTACAGAATATCGGCTGCTTGGTCCAATGATCAATGGATGCTCATGGATTGAGTTGCGCCCTCATACAAGTAGAAAACATCAGGTTCCTTGGACCTTTTTCTTTTACTAGTTAATCCCTGTAAAATAACGGTTCATCTTTTAGATTGTCAAGAGATGCATATAGGTATTGTAGTTGTGATCCCAGTGAAAAGCAGTGGTTCTTCTAAGGTGTGGTGCTCTAAGAGATGCATAAAAACTTCCCCAAAGTTAGGACCATTAGTAGGTTTAAGTAGACTATCTTGCTTGATGAACACAAAATTAGAACAAGGGGAACTGATGAAGTCATGAAGATGCTTCCATAAAGCAGTATTATGATCGAGTATTATTCCTAGTAAGGGGAAGGGGGGGGGGGGGGGGCTCTTATCACTATTATCAACATCTCAACTAGTGAGGATGCAGTACAATTGAAGTGCGAGTATAAAGCTGCTTGACTACTGGAGATCTTTGTGTACCCATGATGAATTTCATGGGTATATCAAACTGTAACTGAGAAAACCATATTTTCTATTCTGGTAGTTAGTTGTTGTAAGGTGAGGGGAATAGGAAAAATGATCGTGTTTCCTGGTACTTTGCAGCTTCGAGTCCATTGTGCTGAAGCCCTTGGAACTCCAATTGTGGGTGACTACAAGTACGGTTGGTTTGTCCATCGGAAATGGAAGCAGATGCCAAGAGTAGATGTTGAGCCGACAACAGGGAAACCCTACAGATTAAAGAGGCCGGAAGGTTTGGATGTTCAGAAAGGAAGTGTCTTATCTAAGGTTCCTTTATTACATCTGCATTGTAGAGAGCTTGTGCTCCCAAACATTGCCAAGTTTATTGAGCTTCACAGTCGAAAAACAAGAACTCGCTGTTTAAATGCAGATAATAGCTCAAAACCAGATCTCCTTCGGTTTGTAGCACCAATGCCATCTCATATGAAAATTAGTTGGAAGCTTATGTCCTCTTACTTGATATGAGAAATGACAAGTCTCCCTTGGTTTTTTCCTCATGCTTTGCTCTCTCAATTGTCTATGATCTATCATACATAAAGCATTTTTAGTTTCTCATCCAAGTAACTCCTAAAACATTTTTTTGGGTCTCATCTTGTGAATACATTTCCTGAACAGAACGGCAGGTTTTTATTCATACCGGAAACAACCTCTCTACCTACATAAGGCAGGGTAAGGTTGCCTATACACTACTCTCCCGAGATCCCATTTGTGGGATAATACTGGGTTTGCTGTTGCTGTTAAAGCGACATGAGCATTGATGTCCTGATGATGTACACCTCTGCTATTGGTCTTGTAACTTTCACCAAATATGGCTTTTTGATCGCTTAATAGAAAAAAGGAAAAAGGAAAAGGTTGTGAAGTAATTCTGTTTTCAAAATTGGTAATGATTCCAAACTAGTTGTACCACTATTTACCTTTACATTTGGATGGAAGTTATGGCACTAGCAATGAATCTTTTTCGAATAAGCACTTTTGGTTGTTGCTAGCAACTAGCAAGAAGGTTTTTATAAGAAAATATAAGCAAAAAGTTAAGTCCTTTATAGATAGCTCCATCTACGAACATAGATTAACCAATCTAAATGAAATCAGAGACCAACTAAAAAAGCAAATTAGCTAAAAACATGAAGTATTTGAAAAAGAAAAAAGAGATATGAAGTAGGAGTACATTGGAAGAAAAATGGTTTAAATACTCTATTCATACCTTTATTGAATAATAAAAAGGAGTATGGAAGAAAAATCAATTTAGGTGGATTCACAATTAAATTAGAAAAAAATGTAAACTCAAAGAAAAACCAGTTAACAGTTAGAAAAGATATTGTAAACTCAAAGAAAACCAACCAACCATCCATTTACTTATGATATTAAATTCCAAATAGGGAAAAAGACGTAACCATTAATGACCCACCGTTAATTAAACGGAGAAATGAATAGCCTTAAGCAGTAAAATTATAGTACTATTAAAAGTAACACCGTTGTGTCAACGTCAGACACCTCAGAAGTAGTGTCTTTGCTTACTATATTTCAGAAAATGCCAGCAGCCTTGGGACGAAAACGTCATGAATGCACTTATCTTTATTTCCTTTTTCGTAGTATTTGTTTTCTTCTGATTATTCACATTTTACTATTCTTTAACAACATAGACATACAAATGCAGCTAGTTTAGATGCTGATAATAGTGAAAGCAATTAGTATTTGATTAAGCTTTTTAAAAGTGTTTTAAAGTATATATTTTCTTTCAAAATGGCATAAAAGGGCGTGACCTAGTGATCAATGAAGTGAGTGAGAACCATGAGGTCTCTAAGTTCAAATCCCAGCGCAAACAAAAAATACTAGGTCATTTCTTCTCATATATCAAATCTTGGTGAATAAAGTTACCTGGTACCTATTGCTGGTGGGAGGTGACACGTATCCGTGGAATTAATCGAGGTGCATGCAAGCTGGCCCGGACATCACGATCACAAAAAAAAGGTATTTTTGGAGAGAACTACTTTTTTCTGCTTCTTCAAAAACTGCTTCTGCTTTTATTGAAAAATATTTTCTCTTTTAAAAACTTGGCCAAATACTTACTTGCAGATGCTTGGCCAAACAGACTACTATTATTATTTTACCTAAGTTGCCCAAAAAAAAAAAAAGGTTTTGCACGGACGCACACTCTCTTTAGACATGATAAGATAGAAAGATTCAGCTAAAGGAAAGAAGAGAAGATAGTGTGATTCTTAGAGTCCGGAACCTAAATGTTATATTTTAGACTCAAAATACATAGACAGAAAAAAAATTTAGTAACCAAAGTGAAAAGGAGACAATAGAAAACGTGGATCCAAACCACATTTTATATAAAAACACAGTTTTAAAACACGTTTTACCTTAACGTCCCAAATGGATATTAAGGTAAAAACGTGATCCAAAAATATAACATTTAAGTTCCGAACTTGTTATTCCTAGCTATTGACTAGGACAGAAGAATCTAGATCCTTAAACTCTTCATTATGTCTGTGATGACTCACTTTGTCTACTTTCTGTTTCTTCTAGATAAGTCTCTTTCTCTTCTTACTTAACCTTTGTGTATAATAAAAAGAAAGACTTTCTTTTGTGTTTAGCTTGAAATTTCTAGTACATTATTGGTCAGTTGCTCTTTCTGCTTTCTCAGTTCCAACTCTATAATTTCAAAGTAATCACTTCACTTTTCTGTTTGGAAGTGGAATTTCAGGCTAGCTAAATATAGTCTGTGAATTTACTCTTCTTTGCTCTGATTTTCTAGTACTACCATTTTTATGTGTCATAATTTCCTTTGAAGCTCTACAACATATGTTCTTCCTCATGTATTCCTGTGTTAAAAGAGGATTTCATGACCAAAAAATCTTGTCTTTTTCCTTTTCTGTATCTCAGTTTTTGTATAATATCTAGCTCTATTTTGCTATAGTTCGATTCTGGACTCTTTCTTGTTCATAATTATAGTATTGATTTAGTTTCTGCTGACTCTCAATCTTGTAGCTAGAGCTCACTTGGCTATAGAAAAGAACTTTCTTTATTTTTAACGCGATTTCAGCTTACTGAGGACATGGCCCTTGATAGGAGGGTATGAAGGTCGAAGATTAGGGCGGAAGGGTAACAGGTCGTAGTTTGTTTTTTTGAACCGTTTCGGGTTTATTTAGGGCAAGTCTGCTAGTACCTTGTTGTTGTGTCTTAGAGTGCTAGTATTAGGGTGGGTTTTAGTACTATCTTCCTCTTCGGTTTTAGTACCTTGCCTTTGTTACTGCTTCGCTATTGCTATTGTTATTGCTTTCTACCATCTGTTTTTTCCTATTCATACATTGTTGGTTTCATTTTCCTGGCTTGTTGTTGATATTTACCTGGTTCTATTCTTTCTCTCAAGCTGAGGGTCTTTCATAAACAACCTCTCTACTTCCCTAGGTTAGGGTAAGGTCTGCGTACACATTACCCTCCCCATACCCCACTTGTGACATTTGGGGTATTATGTCTTTTGCTTATTGGCAAAATGGGATCTTTTGCTTTTTCTAAGTCATTTGGGGTATTATGTCTTGTAACTTTGTTAATGGTTTCCATATTGCATTTAGTTAGTGGGATTGGTGCCAATTGGGGAACTCAATCAACACACAATTTGCCTCCTGAGATAGTAGTCAAAATGCTAAAGGACAATGGGTTCCAAAAAGTTAAGCTTTTTGATGCTGATTATGACACACTTAAAGCTTTGGGCAACTCTGGCATTGAAGTTATGGTTGGTATTCCTAATGACATGCTTACAACCTTAGGCAGCTTGAAAGCTGCTGAGAAATGGGTTTCCAAGAATGTTTCTGTCCACCTTTCTCACAACAATGTGAACATCAGGTAAACCTCTCTCACTTGCTCTTGTTTCTTTTACTTTTACTGAATTTACTTTTGGTTAGTTCTATCTATGAGAGCTCAACTTCCTCTATTTTCCATAAGTAGTTGCTGAGATGTATATCTTTTTTATTTCTGGTTCAAACACAGTACAAAATCTTTATTTTAATGTTTTTGAGAAGTTTGTCTGTGTTTGACACATTATTTCCAGCATTATGTGTGTTTCACATTAGTGTATGAACAAGTTCCCATAGACAATGAGCTTGGCTAGATATTAGTTGGGGCAGAGACGGAGCCAGGATTTAAAGTTTTTGGATTCTGAATTTGTCATCAAACTCATAACTAGTCTTAGTTACTGGATTCGCATTCCCCTTGCTTCGGTTTTCTTATTGCTTTGTTGTTTTGTTGTTGTTAATGTTCTTGTCTTTAGTATTTTCAACATGGCCTCTTCATTACTGTTCTCTTGTTCAAACATGCTATGAATTGTTTTTCTTGAGCCGAGGGTCTTTCGGAAACAACCTTTCTACCTCCAACAAGGTAGGGGTAAGGTCTACGTATACTTTACTCTCCCCGGACCCCACAATTTGGGAGGGTATGTTGTTGTTGTTTTAGTTACCGGATTCGCATATTAAATATCTATATATATTTAATTGATTTCCTAATACAAATATAGTGTATAAGCGAAAGCTACTAGGTTTGCCTGAGCCCGTAGATGATACACTAGCTCTGCCCCTGAGTTGGGGAAGTATATTTCAGCTTATTGGCGAGTGACTAAGCATTAAGGACCTACCTTTTTAATGCATAGGCCAAACTCTAAATTCTCATAAACTAGGTTGATAATTGATTTAGCTTAACAAGGTTGCTAGATTTTATGGGTTTGAGAATTGAGACAATCCCATTCTGTCTGACTATGTTGCTTGGATACGTGTTTGGGCACCCGACATGAGTGTGGATCAAAGAAGTCGGATTTGCCATCTATGTACAGTTGTGAGCATGTTCTGTTTGTAAATTCAAGTATAAGAAACTCCTGGAGGACAGTGAGGTTATTGTATCATGTGCATTAAGCTCTACTAGAGAGTGAATGCCAATCAACTATGGCTGCCGGGGTTCAAGAGACGGTATTCCACTGAACTCATAGTAACAAGATTAATTATATCCTGTTCTTTTTTTCTTCTCTGTTTCTTGTTCTGTTTTGTTCTGTGTATTGCCTGCAAGACCATGAACTCCGCTTGAATTAAATGACCTTCTCTAAGTATATGTTGTATAATAAGCGTAGACCTTAATGTGTACATACGCTGCTTTTGACTTTGTAGGTACGTTGCAGTTGGAAATGAGCCTTTCTTGGAAACATATAATGGAAGTTATCTAAGAACAACATTTCCTGCTCTACAAAATGTCCAAACTGCACTCGTAAAGGCTGGCCATGGTAATCAAGTGAAGGTCACCGTCCCCCTCAATGCCGATGTTTATGAGAGTGCTAGTAGCTTGCCATCAGGCGGTGATTTTCGAGCAGATATCCATAACTTTGTGATCCAAATAGTCAAGTTCTTAAGCGATAATGGTTGCCCTTTTACTATCAATATCTACCCATTCATAAGCCTCTATATGGATTCCAACTTTCCAGTTGAATATGCATTCTTTGATGGAAATGCAACACCTCTAAACGATGGCGGGATAATCTACACCAACATGTTTGATGCAAATCATGACACTCTAGTGTGGGCTTTAAAGAAGAATGGGTTCGGGAACTTACCTATTATAGTCGGAGAAATTGGTTGGCCCACAGATGGGGACCGCAATGCTAACCTACAATTAGCGCAGCGTTTCAACCAAGGGTTCATGGCTCATATATCAGAAGGAAAAGGCACCCCTATGAGGCCTGGTCCTGTTGATGCCTATCTGTTTAGTTTAATTGATGAGGATGCAAAAAGCATCCAGCCTGGGAATTTCGAACGTCACTGGGGAATATTCGCCTATGATGGGCGACCAAAATACTCACTAAACCTTGGCACCACAAATTCAGGATCTTTAGTTCCAGCTAGTAATGTGAAGTATTTGGAAAGGAAATGGTGTGTGCTCAAGCCTGACGCTAAGCTTGATGACCCCCAGATTGCGCCTAGTGTGAGTTATGCTTGCGCGCGTGCTGATTGCACAAGCCTTGGTTATGGGACATCGTGTGGAGGCCTGGATGCGCGAGGAAACGTTTCATATGCATTCAACAGCTACTATCAGATAAACAATCAGCTCGACGTTGCCTGCAAGTTCTCAGGGCTTGGGACAATCACAAAGTCGGATCCATCTACGCCAAGTTGCAAGTTTGGGATCACGATCGAACCATACTATGGAGGTGCAGAACAAAAATTTGTCTATACAAGGTTGTTATTGTCTCTGATTCTCTTGCTATGGACAATTTTGTGACGTTCTACACTTCTTTTTTCTAGTTATCTAATTTGTTTATAAAAATAGTTGTTACCCTGCAATGTACCATACGTTAGTGATTTGTCTTCTTTAGAAGCTCTTTGCATGAGGAACATAATGTTTGCTTCTTTAGGAGCTCATTTCATATTGGATTTAACTTATATACACTAATCGCATAAAAAATATTTATATTATTGGTGTATTTTTGTAATGTTAAAATCTCTACACGAATAAGACATGTCTTCCCTTCACAATCTTGCTTTTGTTAAATGCTTTCGAAGTTTGTATTATTCGTTAATTCCTTAATGGATATGGACCAATATCAAATATATATGAGAATTTTTTAGTGATGTGACAATTATTTTCCCTAATAAATTAAATAACCTTACATCGATTTATAAATCTCAAGCTTATTTTAACCTTAATAGGAGTAATTAAAATAATACATAAATCACTCCTTAATAACTTCAATATAGAAGATATAAAATTCAAGCAATTTTGTTGCGTTCTACCGCCGTTAGGCCAAAATGAAAGGTTCTACACGAGCTCCCGTTCTGCAGCGTGGTGACATGATTGCTACGGGAGTGTAGATAGGGGTTAAATCTGCAGGGTTCATGCAAATACATAGGTCCGTTCCATTCTCTTTGGCTGGTTTAGAAGGCGTTTCCCGATATGTCTATACAACTTTTCCAAATCAGATATTGTCTTTTTAAAATTAAAAAAATTAAACAAATTATAGAACATATTGGTTAAAAATCAGTTTTGATTGTCAGTTTGGTTCAGTTTTTCATTTTTCTTGAACAACCTTAGACTAAATTCTTATCTTCACCATCTGGACAGTACATAACCTGTCTGTTCTTGACTACCATAAATATGATACATAGGGGTGTTCATAACAACCCGAAAAATCGAACCAAATCAAAAATCAAGTCAAATCGACCAAAAAAATTGATACTCTTTTGGTTTGGTTTGATTTTGGTTTTAATAAAAAAAACCCGAAAAAACTGAACCAACCGACTATAGAAGTAGCTATTTAAAATATATTATTACACCTATATATATCTATATTTTTATACAAAGTTTCTAAAATTTTATGGTACATATTAATCGTTTGTACTTTTAATCTAGTTCTTTGTTACTATGATAATCTAGTTCTTTGCCTTTACATTTCAGTTGTAGTTTTGTTTTGCTAAGTACGGGAATCTATTTCATGTTAAAAATAATTTATTTTTAATTGAGTCCTTAAATTATTCATCACTATTTGATTCAATTATCATTAAGATATCTTGGTAAATAATAGATTTTTCAAAGATCAATTGGTTTGATAGTGTTACATTAGTCACCGAAATATCTTTAAGAAAAAATTGATAAAAATCGAAAAACAGACAAAAATCAACATAAATCGAATTGATAAAATTGGTTTGTTGGTTTTAATATTTGAAAAATTGACTTGCTTTGGTTTTTTTTTTTAGGGGAAAACATGAATACCCCTAGTTGTTGATAACTAGACAATTAAATCATGCTAAAGATGGTCTGAAACTTGCCCAGAGAAGCTGGACCGGAAATGGCCGAGAGAAGTAATCAGTTTGGACAAATAGTAAAATGGGAAAACTAATCGGACGGTCACTATCAACTTTAGCATCATCATCATCATCCTTTTCAGATATTCACAACACGATCAAACAATTGGTTTTGAAGGGAAAATATGATCAAGCCCTTGAGCTTTACAGTGCAAAAGTTCACTGCTTTTCCGACTCCCATGCAAATACCACCTTCCTTCTTCCTTCAATCATTAAGGCTTGTGCTCATTCGAAAACCCATCAATTCTTGGGCCTTCAGCTTCATTGCTACGTCCTTATAAATGGGTATTATTCAGAATCCACAGTATCCAATTCTCTTATATCAATGTATGCAAAATTCTCCGATACAAAAGCTGCATACCAACTGTTTGATACAATGCCGAAGAGAGATACCATCTCCTGGAATTCCATGATAAATTGCTATTATCAAAATGGGTATTTATTTCAGTCATTCGAGTTGTTTAAGGAGATGTATGCTCAGGGTTTTGCGCCAAAGCCTGAGTTGATCGCTTGCATTTTATCTGCATGTGTTGAGACCAAGAATTTGAGACTAGGAAGAGCTATCCATGCTCTTACAATAGTTGATGAAAGAATAGAAAATTCAATTTTCTTTCTAACTGCATTGGTAGACTTCTATTCGAAATGTCATGAGCCGGATTCGGCTTACCATGTTTTTCAGAGAATGGAAGTGAGAAACGAGGTATCATGGACTGCAATGCTATCTGGATACATAGCTGAGGAGTTGTACATCGAAGCACTTGAATTATTTTGCGAAATGCAGGTGGAAAATGTTAAACCAAATAGAGTTACATTGACTAGTATATTACCAGCTTGTGCTGAGTTGGGTGCAGAAAAGTATGGAAAAGAGGTTCATGGTTATGCATTTCGCCATGGGTTCGACTCGGATTCTCAATTTTCATCTGCTATTGTACACATGTATTCTCAATGTGGGGAAGCATTGTGGGGTATAAAGAAGATATTCGATCGTTCAACTAAAAAAGATGTGGTATTGTGGACTGCTATCATAACGAACTATTCTCGAAGTAAATCTACTTTTCAAGAAGCTATAAAGCTTTTCAGTGAGATGCAGCTGAGTGGAATTCGACCGAATGATGTTACTTTATTGGCAGTAATCTCTGCTTGTACTAATCTGTTATCAGTATGCCATGGGAGGGGACTGCATGGTTATGTTTTTAGAAGTGGTCTTAGCTCACAGTTGTTCATTGGTAACTCCCTCATAAATATGTACTCAAAATGTGGTTTTCTTAAGGACTCCGCTCAAGTTTTCCAAGAGATGGCTATAAGAGATTCTGCATCATGGAGTGCGCTAATCAGTGCTTATGGGACTCATGGTTTTGGAGATAAAGCTGTGGAACTTTTTCATGAGATGAAAGAGAGTGGGATAAAGATTGATTCCATTGCATTGCTTGCAGTTTTATCAGCTTGTAATCACTGTGGTCTTTTTGAGGATGGAAAGAAGCTCTTTGATGAAGCGTCAAAGGATAAGAGCTTCTCAATGACTGTGGAGCTCTATGCTTGCTACATCGATCTCCTCGGAAGGGCAGGTAAGCTAGAAGATGCTAGTGAAGTCATTAGCAGAATGCCTATGAAACCTAGCAACAGAATTTGGAGTTCCCTGATTGCTTCTTGTAAATTACATGGAAGACTGGAAGTTGCTGAACATTTGGCTCATAGACTCACCAACTCTGAACCCGGAAATGCTGCTAATTTTGCTTTATTAAGCTTGGTATATGCTGAATCAGAAAATTGGCCTGGAGTGGAAGATGTAAGGCGAGAAATGAAAGAAAGAAAGCTGAGAAAAACTACGGGTTCAGCAAAATTGAGCTAGATGACTAGATATTTTAATCCTTCTGTGCACCCAACGGCATTCGATGGAAGGGAAGAATAGTGACTAGATATTTTAATCCTTTGTGCCATGACATTCAATGGAAGGGAAGAATAGTGAGAAATGGCTAAATTCTAGTACTAGGCCCATGACACACATCTCAGAATTGCGTCTATACAAAGAGTACAGGTAAAGAGTGATTGTTAAAATTAGAAAGTTTATTGTTGGGTACATTAATCTCATTTTTCAAAAACTAATCATGATTCTAGATTAAACTAACCATGTCTGCAGTCCTATGAAAGGATTGAGTTTTTCGAGTTCAATGAGAAAATAGGAGAAAAGGATATGATCTGATGCTCTGCTTAACATTTAGATTTGTGAGTCTTGAACAACTGAAAAGACCTGGGGCATTAAGAAATAGAGTTTTTAATCAAAATTCTCCTTATCTTTGGGGGTAGATCTTTGTCCTTACTAAATGATGTTGATAGCTTATAATCCTTTTAAGTTTGGTAAATTGAGTACATCTGGTCCATTTAGCATAATACACAAAGGGAAGCTGAAAATTTAACAGGTCCCTCGGATCATGCAATGCACTTGACTCTGAAGAAGAATCTGACAGCAAGAAGCCATTCTATTATAGGTCAATCCTTATACCAAATCTAGAGTGAGTTTGTCAAAAACACTTCAGATGACTCCCCTACTGGTTCCACAAGAGAAGTGCAGGAATGGACAGATATGAGGGTCAGGTGGCTAAAGGGGAAAATAGATGATACAATAGAAAAGGCCAAGCCCAAGCCAAAATCAGCTCGGAGGAGACTTCCGCTACCACCTATGGTCATGAGGATCTGGATAGTTAGAAGAAGCCATGTTCCTTCATCATTATTGATTAATTACATTGTCTGAGCAACGATAAAGTTGTCTTCGTGTGACCTGTAAGTCACAAGTTCGACCCGTGGAAGCAACCACTAATGCTTGTATTATGGTAGACTGTCTACATCATATACCCTTTGGGGTACGACCCTTTCGTGGACCCAACGTGGGATGCCTTGTGACTGCTCCTTTATAGCTTATTACTGGTTTGGTTCTCACCGTAGTATAAATACAGCTTATCACATCACTGTGTTGTAAGTTCACTAGTTATGTGAAATTTACTTCTTTATTTAACATATATAAAGCTCTTACATTATTTACATGCCATAGCTATAATTGTCCGAGCTCGTTCTGAACTCAAGCTTTTCTTTTATGCTGCATCTTAAAGAACCGTTATTAATTGTAGTTAATTTGAAAACTACACAAACTAAGGTCTATCTTTTCTTTGATGGGTAATGGAAGAAAATAAGGTGGGAAGTCGAAGAGTAGGAAATCATTAATAATAACTGAAAAGCTTTTCTTAAAGCTACGTCCCAAACAGAAAAATCATTTGAAATCTAACTTCTGGAGTGTTTTCTTCTTTGCATTGCATGATGTAAGAGCTGTTGAAGTTTCTGTTTATGCATATGTTAAGCAGACAATATGTGCTCAATTTTAGTTAACTTAGAAGGATTATGTGCCAGAGTACATGAAAGGGGCAAAATAGACCACTTCAAAAATAAGGGACAATTTTGGTTAAAGAACTCTTAAAATTCTGCCTTTGCACAAAAATCAAGCTTGGTCCAATGGGATTAAGGATGTGATATAATTATTGAATGCTATAGAATGATCCTTCCCCCTTTTTATTTGTGTGTGTTTGGGGGGGGGGGGGGGGGGGGCGTTAGGATTACAAAACCTATTCTCCCATAAAGAATATAAGCAAGGTGGTGATTTTATTCCATAGAATTGCTACACAAGAGAGAATTGTATCCTTTCAGTACAGCAATACAATCAATACATCAATCGACATCCTGAATCCATATGCAGAAGAACAGCTAAAGATCCACCTTCGCTAATGTGTGCGGCTCTTTGGATTACATTCCAAAGTTAGAGCTGTAAAATTGAGTCGAACTCTCACCTGATGAACAAGGCAATCACGTAAGTATAATGATTTTGAAGATGGCCACATTTGCTCATATGTTAATAATATAGCACATCATAATTTTCAAAAATACTCCTCAAATAACTCGATGACATTGCAATATGGCTCATTTGTCAATAATAATCTCAAAAATACTCAAAGAACTCAGTCTTCTAGTCCTTTTAATCCTCCCCGCCAAAGTTACATGGCTTTTCTGGATAAGCAGTGTTAGGACTTGGAGAGATAAAAGGAACAAAGAGAACAGTGTTGGGAAAGATAACACGGAGGGTGCAGTACAGTAAAAAAGAAGTTATAAGAAATATGCCCGATTGCAGGGAAGAAATTATGCCTAGGCTTCATGATACACCAATATCCTTCACACATAATTCAACTTTGAAGATAACAGTTTTGGTAGGGAAAAGGGTCAAAAGTACCCCTCTACAATGCGAAAAGGATTATTTATGCCCTCCGTTATACTTTCGGTCCACAATTATCCCTGACGTTACAAAACTAGTTCAAAAGTACCCCTCCTCCGTTAGGGCCCTCCACCATGGCCAAGACCATCCTATGTGGCCTGACATCTCACTGAGGTGGACGTCATGTGGCACGCCACCTCACCGCCCCAACCCCATTTTACCCTCTCCCCTCACTTCTTCTTCCACCACCACCTTCCCCTTCACCTAACCAACACGCTACCATAAACATGGTAAAGCAAACTCATGATTTTGGTGCCATACTGTTTAGAGGCTTGTGTCACTAGTAACTCATCCTTTCCTAAAAGAGGGAGACCAAGATGTGCTGGGTCCTACACTTTAAGCTATTAGAAAAACCCAAGGCAACCAAATTATGGATTGAGAAATTCGATATCCAATATCGGGTCCCCTGTACGCGTTCATTATGCTGGATACTCTTAAGTCTCTGACAACTGATTTTCATGCTATTTGCTTACCCAGTCTAAGTATAAACGAAGTAAACATATTGCGTCTAAAAACATGGATCACCCTTACAGGAACAAAATTGATAAATGTGCTACCTGCATAATCATCTCAAGCACTTTCAGGAATATCTCTTTGTAGGGGGCATCCCGATAGAGTTCTATGCTGAAAAGGCTATAAGCTGTTAGTATTCTTTTAAATTCAGCTCTTTTCGGTGACCTAATTCACTCTTTTTTTTCCGCATCTGCTGTCGAATCTCAAGAGCATCAGCCCACCGACCCACTACTTTGTACACATTTGTTAGAATAGCATAACTCATTGTACACATTTGTTAGAATAGCATAACTCAAATGATAATAAGGTTGTAGTTCCATTAATTTCTTTGCAATATGCTCTGCAACAGTAGATTTGTAGTGATTGGGTGAAGGGGAAGGTGGTGGTGGAAGAAGAAGTGAGGGGAGAGGGTAAAATGGAGTTAGGGCGGTGAGGTGGCATGCCACATGGCATCCACCTCAGTGAGATGTCAGGCCACATAGGATGGTATTGGCCATGGTGGAGGGCCCTAACGGAGGAGGGGTACTTTTGAACTAGTTTTGTAACGTCAGGGATAATTGTGGACCAAAGTATAACGGAAGCCATAAATAATCTTTTTCGCATTGTAGAGGGGTATTTTTGACCCTTTTCCTGTTTTGTTTTGGTATTAGCTGCAGCATCCAGAGGTTATATGTTGACAACATCGAAAAAAAAATCCCAGTTTGGACAATGAAATCTAGATGTTCAATTTATTGAATCCAAAGCAGATAGATTCTGAAGTTAGCTTTGATTGGCAACAGTAGGATCAAGTAAAGTACAAATTACCTACCAGTTATGCAAACAAAACTGAAACAAAAAAATCTGGCAGAAAATTGGTAGCATGATAAAATGCTGATTAGATCGCTGCTTGCAACTCCGCTCCACATTTTGAATCTGAGAACTTGCAGAATACAGTGTAATGTTGTCACTCGGGGGCAGGTAAAGTGTGTGCAGTTCCCATTATCTAGCTTAATTTCAGGGCATTAAGCTATTCGGAAACGAAAACTTCCCTCATATGCTCAGAAAGTTCCAATCTAAGGTACTTTCACAATGTATTTAGTCTGGTCCCATGTTTGCATCAACTCTTCATTTGATCTGACGACAAATCTAAAGGTGTATGACATTATTTTATATGAGTACAGATATTTTGTGTTCAAAATACACTTGCAAAAAATGAAGAAATGCTAATCGGAAGCACAAAAAGAAATACTTTATGCTTGCACCAAATTTGTGAACATAGAAAACTTTAGAAGATAAGCAAAAAAACTGCAAATACCTAAAATTCGTGCCCAAACTTTCTGCTCTAATTAGCATTGGCAGACACTCCCGTCTTACTGTCAGTCTCAGAGCTGGATTTCAGTGGAGGTACATAAATTCTAGCCCTTTTCAAAATTTCAGAAACAACCCAGTGCTTACGCTTGCTCAATGGTCTCGAATGATCTAACTTTACCTGAATTTACAAATTTCAATAAATAACTCAACATCTTATTCAAAGTTAAGAACAAATCAAGCTAGAAACTTTCCTGAGAGAAATAAACAAAAAATGTATAATTACATACGCGGTCGCCGATGTTGCATTCGTCGTTCTGGTCATGAGCCATGAATTTAGAGGTGCGCTTCACATAGCGATTGTAAAGCTTGTTGTGGAAGAGTCTATCTACAGCTACCACTACTGATTTCTGCATTTTGTTTGACACTACTGTTCCCACCACCGGCTTCATCCTTTCTCCGCCTCGCTATCTCTGCCTTAAACCCTACCGACTACAGTGCAGAACCGGAATTAGCCCCATTTTTGCCTTTTTAGTTCTTTAGCAGGACTGAATTTCTGTTTTTGCTTCATTAACCTCGTAACTTAAGGATAAATGTCAATGTAGTCCCAACTCTTTTGAAAATTCATTGGGCGATACACACATTTTTCCTTCTCATACTTTATAATCTACGTTTTACCTCCTTAATTTATTGTGGATTGCAATAACTCCCTTGTATTATAAAAAATGAATCTTTTCCTTGAATGTGTTGAGAACTTAAAATGTGACATCTTTTTTTCATAATAGTATGTGTCATTTAGCAAATGTATGGAATTTAAGTAGAGATTTAATTTGTCTATTACTTAAGTACTAGCAGAAAATATATGACATTGATGGTTGAATATTACATATTGAAAATATCATATAAAAATTTGTATTTGATTAAGTGGATAAATTTGTTCTTTTTACCACTTTAAAATTGTATACAACAGCAACAACATAGTCAAGTAAGTCCTTACCTTGTGCAGATAAAGGGTTTATCTTCGTAGATCATTGACTCAAAAACAATTAAAATTGTGTGAAATAAATATTATTGTTGAAACAAAACATAGTACTTTATAATATCCGGAAAAAGAAAAAAAAGAGTGATAAATTGGAATAATGTGGAATAGTAGGATGGAAGTGTAAAGGTGTCTAATGTCAGGCCAGAAACGGCCTAATTGTTTGTGGGGAATAAAGTAAAGATGCTAAATAGTTGGAAAGAAAGCAAAGTTTATCCAAGAAACAGACCAAAATCCGTTTATCCCCATTTTTCTCCCGCTAGGCTCGCTTCACTCCAATTGGCCCCATCACTTCCTTATAATACTGACAATTCCACCTTCAAATTATCTTCACTACCAGATAAACACTAGCAGTGCAGTACTAGTTCCTCTTATTCTCTTAACTATTTCCCACTTCATTTTTTACTTTTTGTTTCATCTTCAATTTTGACATTTCTTGAATGGTCTCTTGTACATTGTGGTTGCTTTTGTCACTGAATGCTTGAATGGTCTGTTGCAAAAGTAATATGCAGATTCTTGACTTGACTTACATCTTTTCTGCCCTATGAGTCTGAAAAATGTGGCTTATTATACATGTTCTTAATGAGCACTTCAATGGTCTTATGTCAAAATTTATTACTTTTCAAGGAAAGTACTAGCTCTCTTAACTCAGTATTTCTGCATAAAAATTCAATTGCTGTTAGTTGGAGGAGGAGGAAATCTTTTGGGGTTACTCCAAATGCAAAGAAAAAGCAGTCAAAGAAGAAAAGCTGGTGGAGAAAATTCTTTCTTGAAGATGATGGAAATTGGTTGGGATTAAAGGATGAGGATTTGCTTGATGGACTTGAATCTGAAGGCTTAGGTAGTGATGATAATGATGAATTATCTGAGAATGAAAAGTTTGAAGCTTGGAAAAGACGAGCCGAGGCGATAATGGAGTTAAGGGAAGCACAAGAAGATATAAAGAATGAGGAGAATAAGAGGTGGGAGGATTGGCTTGTGGATGGAAGTACAGTTGATTTAGGTAATGGTTCATCTTGGGTTTCAGATTCCAATGACACCATAGGAAAATCTGAAGATAATAAAATGCAGGAAGATCCTAGTGAATTGATACCTGGGAGGGGTTTAGTTAAGTCCGTGAGGGATATGATAATCGGTAGGGAAGACGATGATATGCTATATGAAGATCGGATTTTTCAGTATGCTTCATTTAACTCTGTGAGTGCATTTGTTTTAGTTCTATGCTATTTACTTCAATTTACCTAGTTCTTGTTGTTATTCTCATTCTAATTAGTGTCCATTGGCCTGAGATTAGCTTAAATGTGGTAACATGGTTAGTGAGGATTCATATAGCCGGCCCCAACTTGTTTGGGACTGAGGTATAGTAGTAGTAGTTGTTGTTGTTTTCAGGTTAGTCTCCATAATCCTTTAGTGTCTATAATCTTTCTGGCTGCTCTATAGTTCAACTTATTGTCAACTTATAGGCAAATTAGTTTAGGTGAAAATTTTGCAAAAACCTATTATTATGTAGAATAATTAGGTCCAATAATTACATATGCGAAAGCTCCTTGCAGTTCACTAGCTTGTACACTGAACATATGGTAATAGAGTATTTTCGATATCTCAAGAAGGGTTGATGTAATAGCTAATGCTACCAAAATGGAGTATCAAGATTAAGGAGCTTCTGCAAGTCAATTTATTTTCCTTTTCTTTGTTATGCTTGATTAGAAGGGGAGCCTTGAAGCAGTGTAAAGTTGTCTCTGTGTGACCTATAGGTCATGGCTTCTAGCTGAAATGGTTGTGTTCAGGTAGACTGCTTACATCACACCCCTTGGGGTGCGGCCCTTCCTCGGACTTTCTGTGAACGCGGGATGCTTTGTGCACCAGGCTGCCATTTTTTTGTTATGCTTAACTAATTCTAAAGTTTATGAATCTAGAAACATCCAACACATCTGATATTATCATGTTCTTAGCACTGAGAATTCCCAAACTTCACATCTGCAATGTACTCTTTAAGCTTCTTATTAGGAGTTATTGTTCTCTTCCTGGTGCAGGCTAAGTTTTTGGCAGTGCTGATAATTGTCCCATGGGCTTTGGATTTTGTAGTTCATGATTATGTTCTTATGCCGTTTCTTGACAGGTAACTTCTGTTTGGCTTTGTTTTCATTCCTTTTGGTTACATATCTGAAGTGATTGATGTTTGATCTTTTGTACCTAACTAAACATGTTTTACTACCAAATGGTTTCCTATATTTCTTTTGCTAAGACCTGATAATGATGGTACCACTGTAGGTAACTAAACCATTCTCTGTTACATAAATGATTGATTAATGGCCAACCAAGAGTTACCATTTCCCAAAGGATCTACTGTGAAATTTAAAAGCACCATAACATGTCATTTAGATTGTTCAAACTCTAGAAGTCCAATAACAACAGAATCATGTGTCCACATGCTGGATGAAAATGTTGCTTCATCGGTTTCTTTCAATATCTTTTAGTTCCGATAGCCAGGGGTGACTCAAGCACATACCCTAAAGCCAAGTTTTAATATGAGGCCTAAATTTTTAAAAGAAAGTTATAAGATATATTTTTATTTGAAGTCTATTCTTCTAACTTTGTGAGATATAAAGTTGTTAATAATTTTTTTTTATAATCGATTTTCTCTAATAATTCTTGCTCGATTGATAATATAGCCAATTTATTTTAATCTTTCTTGAGATATGATCTTGTCCAAGTCACACCTCTATTTGAGGTTATGAAACGGTCGATGCAATAGTAATACCCAACAAGGAGTCGGGGTCGATTTTCCGCGGGATCTATGAATGGGACTTAGGAATATATAGTTTAGTGAATGAGCTTGAATTATCTCAAATTGCACTTCCACAAAATTGGGTTGTTTTTAAGTCTATGTTAAACTAAGATTATCAACTAAGAATTAAAACTAGGAAATTGTTTTTGTTGTTTTTCAAATGATATAAAAGGCCTAGGCTATGACCTTCACCTAGGTGTTTGCCTAACGGGTTGTAAACTTTAAAGCTTGTTTTGTTGGTCGGGGTGTATTATAGCTATCAACACTCAAGTACCCACCTAATACCTCTTGGTAAGAGAGTGATTTTGCCCAATTCGGCTTTCTCAAGTCCAAATGGGTATTGAACAAAACGGTTGATAAAAAGCTCAGGTCGGGTTTTACTATCTCTAGGTTCAACCCTTTAATTGGGACTATCAATCTCTTGATTTACCCCCGATTTCTTGTTAGCCAAGTTTTCCTAGACTAAGTCTCTCTTTCTCAAGTAGAGACCAAGTCAAATAGGCATGAACTAATATTTGCAATCATTAATTCTACAATTAAAAGCAAGAACAAGGCTAAATAATAAACACCCAACCATAAACAAGCAATAAATCAAACACCCATTAAGTTTACACTCTAGGGTTGGGTCACAACCCTAGTGAAAATCTAGCTACTCATGCTTAAAACAAAAGAAATAGAAGAAGAAGAAATGATAATTAAACCCATATTGATGATTAAAATAATGAAATCTATGTTCACAAAGCTCAAAATGGCAAAAACTACTAAAGAGGATAAAGAAAAACGTCTACTGTGGTTGCTGATATTCAAAACTTGACCTAAAAAAGTGAAACTCTTCTATTTATACAAAGCTGGAATTTTCGGACAAAAATGCCCTTTCGGAGGTTCTGTGGCCGCACAATTCCATGTGCGGTCCGCACTTTGCTTCAGCTTAACAGGATTTGAATCTTGCGGCCGCACAATTCTGAACCGCGGTCGCATCTCTCTTTTTCTGCGGTCCGCACATTTCTGAGTGCGGCTGCACATAGCTCTTCTGCGGACCGCACAAATGCAACTGCGGCCGCGTAGCTGATCTCCTGCGACCGCACAATAATTGTGCGGTCCGCACTTCCTTTGAACTTGATATGCAAACTCTCTGAACTTTTGCTCTTGCTTAGCTTCTGCGGCCGCACATGTCATGTGCGGACCGCACTTTGCACTTGTTTCTGATAAGTTTCTCTTCACAATCTGCGGCAACAAATGATATTCTGCAGTCCGCACTTTGAGCATCTGTGCCTGTTTTTGTCCTTGAGTTCAGATCACTCCTTCTTGAGTTGGATTTCATCTTAGTGGCTTATTTTCCAATACTCCTGCAATGAAGCATATTTAATCAATTTTCGAGAACACAATTAAACGCTTTTGGACTAAAACGAAAGCTAAAAGGCGCTAATAAGTAGTCGAAATCCCCACTTATCAAGATATTGTTGATCTTAGATAAGATTTTACAAAGCAATAGAAGTATAGAACTATTGGAAGCTTAAAAGTATTGCTGAACACTTGAACTAGTAAAATCTTGGAGAAAGAAGGTGAGTAATGAAATCTTGGAGAATAAAGTGAGTAAGAATATATCAAAGAGAAACATAAAAAATATGTAGGGTTTTCTGAAATATGAAGAGTCTTTTAATGAAGGAGTAAAAAATGGAAAACTAAAGATAATGAAAACT